AACTGTTACTAGCCTAACTGTTACTAGCCTAACTGTTACTAGCCTAACTGTTACTAGCCTAACTGTTACTAGCCTAACTGTTACTAGCCTAACTGTTACTAGCCTAACTGTTACTAGCCTAACTGTTACTAGCCTAACTGTTACTAGCCTAACTGTTACTAGCCTAACTGTTACTAGCCTAACTGTTACTAGCCTAACTGTTACTAGCCTAACTGTTACTAGCCTAACTGTTACTAGCCTAACTGTTACTAGCCTAACTGTTACTAGCCTAACTGTTACTAGCCTAACTGTTACTAGCCTAACTGTTACTAGCCTAACTGTTACTAGCCTAACTGTTACTAGCCTAACTGTTACTAGCCTAACTGTTACTAGCCTAACTGTTACTAGCCTAACTGTTACTAGCCTAACTGTTACTAGCCTAACTGTTACTAGCCTAACTGTTACTAGCCTAACTGTTACTAGCCTAACTGTTACTAGCCTAACTGTTACTAGCCTAACTGTTACTAGCCTAACTGTTACTAGCCTAACTGTTACTAGCCTAACTGTTACTAGCCTAACTGTTACTAGCCTAACTGTTACTAGCCTAACTGTTACTAGCCTAACTGTTACTAGCCTAACTGTTACTAGCCTAACTGTTACTAGCCTAACTGTTACTAGCCTAACTGTTACTAGCCTAACTGTTACTAGCCTAACTGTTACTAGCCTAACTGTTACTAGCCTAACTGTTACTAGCCTAACTGTTACTAGCCTAACTGTTACTAGCCTAACTGTTACTAGCCTAACTGTTACTAGCCTAACTGTTACTAGCCTAACTGTTACTAGCCTAACTGTTACTAGCCTAACTGTCACTAGCCTAACTGTTACTAGCCTAACTGTTACTAGCCTAACTGTTACTAGCCTAACTGTTACTAGCCTAACTGTTACTAGCCTAACTGTTACTAGCCTAACTGTTACTAGCCTAACTGTTACTAGCCTAACTGTTACTAGCCTAACTGTTACTAGCCTAACTGTTACTAGCCTAACTGTTACTAGCCTAACTGTTACTAGCCTAACTGTTACTAGCCTAACTGTTACTAGCCTAACTGTTACTAGCCTAACTGTTACTAGCCTAACTGTTACTAGCCTAACTGTTACTAGCCTAACTGTTACTAGCCTAACTGTCACTAGCCTAACTGTTACTAGCCTAACTGTTACTAGCCTAACTGTTACTAGCCTAACTGTTACTAGCCTAACTGTTACTAGCCTAACTGTTACTAGCCTAACTGTTACTAGCCTAACTG